TGTGGATCGTGAACGTGGTCGATGCCTGTTGATCTCTAACCGTTTGTTCGCGATCGGTCAAAGCGTCAAAATTGGCTTGTAGCTGCGATATAGAAGCAAGAAGCGAGTTGGAATCTGCAGTGTGCGCAGGGAGGGGACGGAGTTTTACGGGGTTCTGGGGGTATGTTTCGTGTATCTTATCCGCCATTCGGGCTAACTGCTCCAAGCTGTGGTCATCAACGAAAGCGCTGAAGACGCGGGACATGGAGGGTGGAAGTTTGTCAAGCCATGGTTGGGCCATGATTTCCACCGCTAACTTACGGCCGCAGAGGAGACCGCGCATGTGTTGAAGCAGTTGTGGTGGCGATCTGTAACCATGTTCGACAGCGGTGAATAGATCCCGTAGCATTTTTTCTGACTTCCCTGTCCTACTGATGACGGCTGACGACATAGGAAAATCGCATGGCTTGGGAAATGATGCGTCGGGTAGTAAAAACGGCCTCTACCTTGTGAAACCATACCCTGGGGTTGCGCGGTAAACGTATGCTAATCGCATTCTCGAATAAATCAGCTGAAAGCAAAAACGGTCTCCAACTGGTGAAACCATACCCTGGATTTGTGTGGATTGCAGTCTGGTAAACGTATGCTAGTCTCATTCTCGATTAAATCCACTGAATCAAAGCGTGCCTCCATAATTACCGGGCAAAAGGAACAAAATTACGACGACTTGAAAGAGAAAGCTCTCAAAAAAATGTCTAGAAATATTCGGGCTCAAAAAATTTGTGGTGGTCTGGCTATGCACAAAGTTAGTTTACCAGCCAATTTTTAAACCCTAGCGTTCAGATCTCGTGCCATCTGATATGTTCTCCATAGGACATAAAGAAACCTTGTAATTTTGGATTCCTACCCATGCCAACTCAGGTGTGATAAACTCTACTCCAATAAGGTTTACTGTTTACGTCACTTTCCCTTTTCCCATTAAACACAAACCCACCAGTCATGCCCTTATGCCTTTATTCTGACTGTAATGCTATGATCATGCCCGACGGTATGCTACCCACTAGTTGGGAATAAATATTATTATTATTATTATTATGTTGGAAGTGGAAAAACGCTCAAACGCTGCTCTGAGATGAGTTGCGTGTTCAGCTGGGAAGGTGCTAGCGACTAAAAACTCGTCAAGGTAGGCATACACAAACGGTAAGCCACGTAAAACCTCGTCCATGAAACGTTGAAAAGTTTGGGCTGCGTTTCGAAGACCAAAGAACATACGCGTGAACTCAAAATGGCCAACCGGTGTTATGATGGCTGTTTTAGGAATGTTTTCATCTGTCCTCTTTATTTTTGTATACGCAACCTAGCTAAATTATT